TCCCCTTCCTCCTCCTCCCCCCTCCCCCTCCCCCTCCCGTTCCTGGCCTTCCTCTGAAGCCGTCCCCATTCCACCAAGCTAAAGAGGTTGCTGCTTCAGGTCAAAGTTCTTTTTTTCTTTTTTAAGTAATTTTTTGAAATATATTTTATTGATTTTTTTACAGAGAGTAAGGGAGAGGTATAGAGATTTAGAAACATCGATGAGAGAGAAACATCGATCAGCTGCCTCCTGCACACCCCCCACTGGGGATGTGCCCGCAACCCAGGTACATGCCCTTGACCGGAATGGAACCTGGGAGCCTTCAGTCCACAGACCTATGCTCTATCCACTGAGCCAAACCAGTCAGGGCTTTTTAAGTAATTTTTATTAGAACTTTTTCATCATTGGCCACCAGACGGCAGTGTTACCCTAGAAAGAGATGCCCAGCTGGGGTCATCTGCCAATATTCCAGACGCTTCCGCCGCTGACGGTGCAGCTCAAACCCTGGATGTTAGACACAGTGCAGGGGAGACTCCGGGCCCGTGGCCCAGCTCTGTGGCCTCGAGCACGTTCGCTTACCTCAGTCTACAGACTTCATGAGGCTGTTACAGCAGATTAGTTTTAAAAATGGACATAATGAGTACTTTATAAATATTGTCCTTAAGTCATAATAAGATGAAAGAGAACACAGCCCTAACCAGTTTGGCTCAGTGGCTAGAGCAGGGGTGGGCAAACTTTTTGACTCAAGGGCCACAATGGGTTCTTAAACTGGACCGGAGGGCCGGAACAAAAGCATGGATGGAGTGTTTGTGTGAACTAATATAAATTCAAAGTAAACATCATTACATAAAAGGGTACGGTCTTTTTTTTTTTAGTTTTATTCATTTCAAACGGGCCGGATCCGGCCCGCGGGTCGTAGTTTGCCCACGGCTGGGCTAGAGCGTCGGCCTGTGGACTGAGGAGTCCCAGGTTCGATTCCGGTCAAGGGCATGTACCTTGGTTGTGGGCACATCCCTGGTGGGGGGTGTGCAGGAGGTGGCTGATCGATGTTTCTCTCTCATCGATGTTTCTAGCTATCTCTGTAAAAAGTCAATAAAATATATTTTTTAAAAAAGAAAGAAAGAGAACAACACAGACCAGGTCTTTCCTGAAAACAGGTATAAGTGGGGAGAAAACGTGCAAGGGTGCCCCAGCCAATTTGGCCCACTGGGTAGGCCAAAGTTCTGCAGACTGAAGGGTTCCAGGTTCGATTCCAGGCAAGGGCACATGCCCGGGTTGCAGGCTTGATCCCCAGTAGGAGGCAGCGGACCAATGATTCGTATCATTGATGGTTCTCTCTCTCCCTTCCTCTCTAAAATCAATAAAAATATAATTTTTAAAAAATTAAAATGAGATCTGAGTTGCACAGTGGATGTGTTCTAAAAAGCTTGTCTAAAGGAGACATTGCAGAGTGCTTTACATAGTAATGACAGCAGCAGTCTGTAAATGGTGGGAATGGATTTGATGCCAAGTGATCGGATTTCAGAGCCGGTATTTCTGGCCACCGCACTACCCTTTGTGTATCACTCTCAGTGTCCACCTCTCTCTCTCCCTCATCCTGAGCACTTGTATTATGAAGTACAACCACTCCAACAGAAACTCTACAGAACAACGCAGGGCACAGCGTTAGGCAGGGGTGGGCAAACTTTTTGACTCGAGGGCCACAATGGGTTCTTAAACTGGACCGGAGGGCCGGAACAAAAGCATGGATGGAGTGTTTGTGTGAACTAATATAAATTCAAAATAAACATCATTACATAAAAGGGTTCGGTCTTTTTTTTTTTAGTTTTATTCATTTCAAACGGGC